CCCCAAAACCCCAAAACCCCGGTGGAATAGAATTTAGAGAAACTAATATAATGCTTTAATAAATTTTGAATAAAAATATCTAATTAACTCTTATTTTTCCAATTTCTATTTTCACCAGCATCATTTACAATAGCTATGACAATCAAAATTGCTCAAGCAGTCTTTAAAATTTCTGAAATGTTTTAATCAATAATCTTTTTTGTTGGCTTGTATGTGCTAACAAAAGAGCATACTATTGAGCAAATCACGATCAATATCATTTATTGGAAAGGAAAGAAAAGATGAATAGGTATTCTAACAATCAGTGAAAACTAAAGACACATCGAGTAGCCAAGTATACAGCCTATTAAAGTACCTAAAGCTGAACTAGCTGTAACTAAGACAAAGGATTCATAAACATAGAGCATTATTATACTTATCTTTTTCACACCAATAGATCTAAGCACTCCTATTTCTTTTGATTACTCATAAATGTTTGACTGCATCGTTGAGCTTAGTGAGAAGAATCCCAGAAGTAAAGTCACAATAATTATTAAGTTGAATATGTTTGTAAGTACTCTATCTCCCATTTCTTACTATGATCTTATTGCAGATTCAATCCAGAATCCATCTAAATGACCCTTTGGAACTGCTAACTTAACAGCTTATTATAAGTCATCATTAAATTATTTCTTGGATTTCTCATCCTTAAATTTGACAATTAGGTTATTGAAAGTAAGATCAGAAAATTTTCTGTTCTAAAAATATGCCATCATAGGTAAAGATATAAGCAAACTGTTAGATGAATCTGCTTCCTAAGGTTCTCTATCTATGAATTAAAAAATAGGAGATTGTTTCATCTCAACCACTGGCCTCAGCCGCACTAAAGAGTTCTTATAACTTTTACTCTGTAATATAAAATACTCCATATCATCCTGTGTTCTTGTTTTAACTTTATCACTAGGATAACTACCTATGATACATCCTTAAGATCCTTTAGCAGTATACAGTGCTTCTCCAATAGTTAATGCACTTTTTTTCTTATGAAAAGATACCAAATCTTGCCTGACAACTTCAAAGAAATTTGGCTAAATTCCATTAATGAAAACATCTAAGTACTCTGTCCTGGGAATGTTGCTTACTTAAAACCCAGCATCATATGAACTTTTTAATTAATCTAATTTGGTAGTTATAAAAGAATGAGACTCAATGTACTCTTTATATTTAATTAGTGCTGGCTCAATATATTAGGGTTACAAGGCGATGGGGTCACCACTTCTAAACATTGGTAGAGAACCATACCAATTAAATATCTTAGATTCAAAAAGTTAGACTATAACTCTGGAAGTAATCAAAAGAAATATAACAAATCCAAGAGCAGTAGAATAAATAGTAGTAGTAAATTTATTCCTAGGTCTATGAGCTTTAATGTTATTGTTAAGCATAATTTATGTAGATTTTTTCTCCCAAAAAAACATTGACTTAATTATTACTCTCTCAAGCAAAGTTTAAAGATTACTAGTCAATAGACTCAGTCCAAATATGAAACATACAAGAATAAAAACAAATATTCTGAGAAGTAGAGTTAAATTATTTGCAAGCATTGATAATGGCAAGAAATAGTATACAATGAAACCATACGTAGCAACGAATAGGCCAAACAAAAATCTTGGTAAAATGCTTGCCTTATTACTATCAATCATCTCAATGTAATGAGATTGAACTCTACTTCTTTCATAGCTCAGAGAAGTTATTAAATTTTAATCAAGTAATGCCATCATAGGCATAATTGAACTCAAAAAGGGAATTAAAGTTCCAATTAAAATCGCCACAATAGCAGCATCCTTTGTAGGATATGGTTCAAATCTACTATCAAGTAAAGCGCCTAAAACTATTGTATATACAGCTTCTAAAGCTGGAATGCATACAATAAATGCTAATAAAATTGCTGGAGCAACAAACATCGCACACTAGATAAACATCATGAATAATAGGTTTTTCTATTTAACCCCAACCATTCTTAAAATACCTGTTTCATAAGTTTTTGTTTCAACCTTAATCATTATCAGTGAATGCACAAGCATTACTGAAATGATGACAAAAATAATGACGATGATGTCTATCAAAAGATAGTACATAGCAAAGTTATTTTAAATGTAACCCATATTTCTAAGTAAACCCAAATCAAAGGAGACTGAATAAAATCCTAGTTTCTCTTGCAATTTTCCCATATATTAAGTGATTCTTGTGTATGTTACATCGAAATCTTTGTTTTAATACCAATCTTGTCTAGGTGAAGGTAAGGTCATTACTATCTGATCTGCAAAATATTCTAGCTTTTGATTATTCGTAGCGAACTTAATGAAATCCCTATTTTATCTTAAATTAATTGGAAAATTTTGCAATAGTGTTTCAAATAAATGCTCGTATTCTACGAAAGCAGCATTTGAATCACGCCAATTAGGTAATTTGACATGAGTTGTTCTAAAAGAATCTCTTACTTTGCATTTAATACTGAGTGGATCATAGATTATGTTTGGAATAATTCTTGGAAGGGCATAAAAATCTGCATGCTATTCATTGTACAATCTAATTAACTACTGAATCAACTCATCAGCCATTAAATCTAGAATAAGTTCATCTCCTATTATCCCACCTAATGAACTCAGTTAGTAAAAATTAAGATAGCACTAATCCTTTTCTAGTTTAGGATATTTATAACGTTCTCCAATTTATATTTCTCTTTCTCTATCTGTATCAATTGCATATAAGCATGTATATTCTTCTTCGACTACTTTAGGATTTTATTAAGATGAGGATTCTGATTCTGTTTTATTAATTTTTAGATCTTACTCATCGATGCTAAGCTATCTTTCTAAAGTAGTAATATTCTAGATATCTTCATGTATTTACTCTATGGCCTCATATTCCGTTTAATGACCTAAGAATGATGTGGTTCACTCAAGTATCTTACCATTAATTTATCCATGCTTTTAATTTTTGAGCTTCTAAGATTCTTAATTCTTTCTAAGGACTAGCTATTCCTATTCTCTATTTTTTATAAGTGTAATTCTAGTAGCGCAAAATATCTTTCTAGGACTTATCTTATAATTTTCAGGATCACCTTTTAAAAGTTCTTAGACTTTTGTATAATTGAGGAAGGCCGAGCCATTTGCTGAGCTTAACTGGGTGTATAAGGTTGCATCAAGCTCACCTATTAGATATTATTTCTATTTCCAGAAGATTACTGTAATACTGGGCAATACTGATAGAACTATAAGAATAGCTAGTACCACTAGAAAAATTGTGAAGAATGTCAAAAAAAAATTAGATTTGTTCCTTTAAATGTCTCTCCATTAAAAGAGGATAAAGTACTTCCCTGAGTTATGAAGCTACTTTGCTAACTTTTTATATTTAGTTATTAATCTCTCAAAAACTCCGAACCTAAATTAACACACTCAATAAATTACCCCACAAAATGATTATTTAGTATTAATGCTGGAAGCTACTTACTTTTAATGATTTTAGTATTTTTTCCTATGCTTTTTATGCATTTTCTCATCAATTTATTAAGTTCTTGAAATTTTTGCTTCTGCTTAATAAGAATCAGAATCTAATGTATCGTTTTTATTGTATGCATTTTTTCTCTATAAAAGCGCTTAATCCTTTTCTTTTACGACAATCAAATTTGCCTATATTTGTTAATCTGAGCGAATGGATTATTAATATTACATCTTCTTTCATAGAGTTTAGATCTTCTTATGAATTAGTTTCTAACTCATTATAAATTGATATTTTAGAATTTGCACCCTTGAATTACTTCATTGATATATCTTTACCATCAATTTATTTTTGACTAGAAGTCTTTTTCATATTCAAAATAATTAAATTTTTAATTCTGAGGTCCTATATTAAATCTATTAATTTATGTATTCTCCCAACTCAAGTCTTTACTCATGGGGTTTTGGGGTTTTGGGGTTTTGGGG